AGATAATATGTTGAAAATGTTCTGCTGCAGTGGCAGGTATCAGCTGAAGAGCCTCTCATTTAACATGCTTTTATACAACGGACAAATTCTTTCTCCCCCCTTCTCCCCCACAGTAATCAAATAGATTTCTCTCTCTACAATTGCAAACTTGTGACAGTTTTCCACACTGGGGTTGTGGATAGATCTAGAATATTAGTAAGCTAAGTGCTGAGCAAAAGTCTGTCCTTTTCCATTGAGTGGGTTTATTTATTTTTATTTAAAGCATTGCTATGCCTCCCTTTATCCAATGCATTCTGGAGTAGCAAACATGCATAAATAATTTTATTTATTTATTTCAACAGTGCTGCTTAATCACAAGAAGACTAAAGATGTGTCAAAAATATAAAATCGGAATTCAGTTTAAAAGCCTGCTGGAATACTAATATAATGGTATCTCGGTTTACGAACTTAATCTGTTCCAGAAGTCCGTTCTTAAACCAAGTCGCGCTTTCCCTAATCAGCCGCCAGTGCCCTTCCACCATTTGGATTCTGTTCTTAGACCGAGGTAAAGTTCTCAAACCAAGACACTATTTCCAGTTTTGCAGAGTTTGTAAACCAAATCGTTCTTAAACTGGACTGTTCTTAAACCGAGGTATCACTGTAAAGGCATTCAGTAAGCACAGGTAGTTCAACAGGGAAGGGGCTATTTGACCTCAGGCAGAAAAGAGTTCCATAAAACTGGGCCCACAATAAATAGCCATGCATCCAAGCCATGAAAAGATGGGAAGATGGTGTCTAATGAAATGCAGTATGTTTAAGGGGGCATGTAGGAAAATCCAAGCCAGGAGAAACAGGAGCTAAGCAGAAAACAGCAAAAAGTGCATTGCGGACTTTTAGAGGATATTTACTGACACCTTTTCAGTTATCATAGGAGTTACTGGAACCCATTAGCACCCATGGGCTATTGGCAACCCCTGACTTAAAGTAAGTCCTCCTTTAGTCACAAATGGCAAAGAATATCTGCTGTTTTAGTATATTAATAGCAGCAGAAAACTGCCCCCCTCCAATTGCAATATCTCTTCTATGGTCCTTTCTCTTTTCTGTGTTTGGTTCTTCTATGAAGTCCCCTAATTAGCCCAGAGTCTGCATCTTGAAGATACATTAAAGCTCAAAGATAGACCTTACTCTAATTTTGCATTCTTCTTTAAACATTGCTTGATAAATCATTGCCCATCAGAGCTGTCTGTTTTAATTGCACTAATTGATTGCACCTGTAATACGTCCCTGTTACTTCTCAGTCTGCACTCAGATAATGATGTTGTTTTATAGCAGTGAAGTATTTCAAAAGGAAGGGCAGAAAATGGGAATGGTAGTTTAGCAAGATCTGGAGGGCCAAAGGTTACCAACACCTGCCTGATGTTGTCAATGTCGGAATCTGCGTTTGACCAAGCTGATAAAGCTCATCTTCCGGCCGAGTCACCCCCGACAATAATTAATGACCTGAGCCTCTGATAAGGCTCCAGGCACATCCCATTCAGCAGAGAATCCAAAACAGCATGCGGAAGTGATGAGATTTATGGCTACATGCTATGCTTTATTTCTAAGCTACGCAGACAGCAAAGAAATATACATCCTCTCTCTATGAAAGCAGAGAGCAACTGAACCAAAGGAACAAAGGAATAGGAAAACCAGTACGTCACATCTGTCTCCTGTGAGACTTCCAACAGTATGGAATGTGTGGAATGTAAACAGAGCCTTGTGACTCTAAGCAGCTGCTCAGTGGCAAACAGAAACTAACAGTCAAAACACCACCAACCATACATAAATGCAGAGTATCAGCATGCTTGGGAAACACCAAGGTTTGTGGAAGTGCAAAACATCGGCTGGGAGGGGAATCTAACATAGGAAAGACCTCCAAAATAGACCAATGGCTACTGAAATGGCCGTGGAATGATGGCTAAAGGAGATGGGGGTAAGAGGAAGCTAGATTGCAGGTGGAATGGAAAAGACTATCATGGAGGCAGGCATGGCTGGCTGAAACACTGTACCATAGCACTCCATATTCCAAGTTTTTGTTGCAGGTAACACTTTCTTTTCTACCTTGTTCAGTGATAATTATTTTCATCTTTACTTGGCTTTTTTGTAGCCTTTTAGAACTGACAAAGTGGAGGTCATTTGAATCTTTTAAAATAATTTTTCCAGAAAGCCAATTATTACTTCTTTCATGCCCAACAACGAATCTAGAAGTTGTTTAGCAGCGACTAATATCTGTGCCCTTTGCAATATGTTCCTTAAATCTTTAAATACTTCCACCCCCATGCAGTGCAAATTAATATGTGGAGATACACTTTCCCCTCCATAACTATATACTGCAAGGTGATGTATACCGGGACTCTTGGAATGGAGTGCTTTACAAAGTACATTTTCTTTCAACAGAATTTATTTTGAATAATACTTTTCTCCACTCTGCCATCTGTTTTCCACTTGTCAGGTCTCATTGGAAGCAAGCTATTCTCACAGCTTTGCTTACAGCTGTTTTGCACAGACATATTTATCAGAGGCTTTTTTATTAGGTTTCAACAAAGAAATGTTTGTACAAGATGGGATTAGCTGTCATATTTTAAAATGTGTTATAATAAAAAGTAATCCATTAAACAAAATATCTCAAAACCTTTTATACATCTTTTGCTTGGAATCTGATTCCCCACTCTGATCATAAAAATGGAATTATTTACTGGCACATTGGCATTTTTATCCTGCCTTATCTGTTCTTAATTATTTAAGTACCCAATGATTTTTATCAAATTAAGCCATTGCAGAATTTTTGCAATGTTCTCGAAGCTACCAGCATGAGTTTGACCAAACTGCGGGAGGCAGTAGAAGACAGGAGTGCCTGGCGTGCTCTGGTCCATGGGGTCACGGAGAGTCGGACATGACTAAACGACTAAACAGCAGCAGCAACAACAAGCGCTTTGCATATTTACTTAGCAGGAAGCATCATCATCATCATATTTAGGGCTTTTTTCAGCTAGAACTCACTGGAACTGAATTCCAGCATCTTTCAGGTAGGTGCCATTGTCATTATAAGATAGGAGGGAGGCATTCATAGTGAGTTCTGGTACCTCTTTTTCTAGAAAAATAGCACAAATTCATATTTATTTATACCTTGGCTTTTCCCCTGAGAGGTCTAATATGAGCAAAGTGGCTCACTCCACATTGGAGAAATTAAATTCAGATTGGATTCAAAGGAGATTTCACCAAATTCACACTTTCTGAAACTAAAGGCAAACCAAAACACAGCCAATTTTCCAAGCTGTCCTCCAGCCAAGTAAACTGTACAAAACTGCATATATCTGTACAAAGTGTATATAAAAATGCACATATTATTGAAAGCAATGTAGAAAAACATCTTAGTTTCAGTTTTCTTGCTTTGCAAAAAAAGTATTTGTTTGTTTGCTTGTCTGTCTGTCCTGCCCTTCCTCTCAAAGGAGAGTAGGGCATCAAGGGCCAATGTAGTAAAAACATATTCAAAAATTTTTAAAGCAAAAGCATCTTTAAAAATTAAGAACATTATTACTACTACTACTACTATCACAAAAAAGTTGTCCCTGACCACTTGGAAATCATCAGGGATGTGCAGCTAGTCTACTTTTACTAGGGTGATCACTGTTTTTGGAATATTCAATTAATTTACAAAAATACAAAAAGAACATAAGCAAGCAGCACAGGCACTCCTAGCAAACAGCAAACCTGACACCTTGCATCAGAAATGCAAACAGAGGTGCCCTTGTATCCCCAAATACTTTCACCCAGATCAGTTCTCCCCCTTCCACCTCACTGTCTGTCCCAACAATGCCTAGTTTGTTCATTTTTTTCCACACTCACCAGCCCTTAGGCTGCTGATGGAATGTTGCTTGCTTGGTTTGTAGCACTCGGGTGGCTTACACTCCTTTGTCAAATCCCAGACTTTTATGATGTCTTGCCCGAGGGCAAAAGCAAAGTGATCAGTACCCGCAGTAATCAGACAGCAGTGCCACAACACATAGGGATAGAATCTGCCTGCTACACAGATGAGTATTTGTCCAAATTAAAGCTCAAGGTGTCCTCTAGATCTACACATGTTTCAGAATTAGCATACATTCATGTCATTCAAAATTAATGCTAGGTAAGATGAAGTGAAGGGACGCGGGTGGCGCTGTGGGTTAAACCACAGAGCCTAGGACTTGCCGAAGGTCAGTGGTTTGAATCCCCGTGACGGGGTGAGCTCCTGTTGCTCAGTCCCTGCTCCTGCCAACATAGCAGTTCGAAAGCACGTAGGTACCACTCCGGCGGGAAGGTAAATGTTGTTTCTGTGCGCTGCTCTGGTTCGCCAGAAGCGGCTTAGTCATGCTGGCCACATGACCTGGAAGCTGTACACCCGCTCCCTCGGCCAATAAAGCGAGATGAGCGCCGCAACCCCAGAGTCGGTCACGACTGGACCTAATGGTCAGGGGTCCCTTTACCTTTACCTTTAAGATGAAGTGAAAACTATTTTGGAGCCGTTTCCCTTACTTCCTGCATGCCTGTGAACCTATTGGATGAACACACACATTGCAACATGGCCAGTCATTACCTGTACATATGTGTTGATCTCATCTGTAGACCCATTTACTATTATATTCAGTAGATCTTATACAATGTAAGCAGTGATAGATACTACTCACATGGAGTGCTGTCCAATGGCTTACTGATACAAGGCAAGATTCATCCTCCTATGTGCGCAGCTGGTAGGAGAATGAGGCTGCAATCCTATGCACATTTACTTGGGAACATGTGTCCCATGGAATTTAAGGGGGCTTAGTACTCTTAGCACAATTCCATGCATGTCTACTCAGTAGCAAGTACTATTAAATTCCATGAGATTTGTGCCTGCAACATGATGCTAGTATACCACATAGTTGAAGGGAATAAGGTAAAGAACCTGTTATTTCCATTTTACTTTAGCCTGGAATGTTCCTTTCGCAAAAAGAACAATGGGGAAAATGGTGTGTGTGTGTGTGCGTGTGCGCGCGCACGCATGCATGCACACATACACACACACACACACTCCAGCCCAGTGCCTCTATTGGCCTCTAAAGTTGTGCTGCTGGGTGTTGTTCAATTTAAAAACCATTAAAAACAAAATAAAATTTGCAATTTTATTGCAAATCTGCCAGGGGCCTCTAAGATACATTTGGCAAGGCACACTGGAAACCATCAAAAATTCCAATTGCTTCTGAGTGGCTACAACAACTTTGGGACATGGTTTCTCCAGAGAAACTGTGAAGATTTCAATAGCCTTAGTGGTATTTGTCGTGAAATGATTGGGCTTCCTGGCTTATTAGAATTAGAAATGCAAATAGTATTATTCATTTCTTTAGCGTTATAAAAAAATATGCAATGCCTTGGATCATAAGTAGCACGGGCAAAAGGAAGCTTGAATAAGAAGGAAGCTTGACTTCCTTGAACCATCTTACGATACACACATCCCAGTGCCTTGGTGTGGGGAGAGGAGTTTAGTTCACATTTTAATGCAAACCTACCTAATTTGCATTTCCCAAAGCAATGCACAAAAGTATGATATGCTTAATTCCTCGATATGTATGTGTATGTGTGTGTGTGTTATTAATGAATTCAAATTCTACTCAGAGGCCACAGGTAATTAAAAGCCAGACCTTTGGCGTTTAATTTATAGTAGCCTTGAGTGGGAGGGATGTTTTAATCCTGCCTTTTAAAAATAGGATTGAGTTTGTTAATTTTCTTTGTTTTCTTTTGACAGTTTAATGTATGTTGGTTTCTTTCATGCTAAAATATTGTAAGTCACTTAGAGTTACGTTGTAAAAAAGTGGGCATAGATAGATAGATAGATGATAGATAGATAGATAGATAGATAGATGATAGATAGATGATAGATAGATAGATAGATAGATAGATAGATAGATAGATAGATAGATAGATATCTCACAAATGCAAAGACGTGTCCTGGAAAAAGAGGACATAGGGCAATCCTACAATGAAACTAATGTGCAAAGATAGCAATTCTGTTATCAGTTACATGTTTATACCATTGACAATTGAATCTGTTTCAGAATTATACCTTTTATCAGATTGACTGTTCAGTGCTACTTCTAGATCCCACATATTCCAATTGCTAGCTTTGAAGTTCACTTTCTTTTGATGTTGGCTTTGCAAGACTTAACAAGGTAACTGTGGCTCACTGATCCAGTGCCACACCCTTCTCAAATGCTTTTGCTTGGCTGGAATATGTAAGGTTGCCATATTTCAAAAAGGGGAAACTAACCCAAAAATAGTGATTTTAAGCTTTTTTGGCTGCTTCCGTTGCTTCTTCCAGTGCATTGCCATACATCTGGGTTTCCCTGACACTTTGAAGATTTGGCAAAATTCCCTCCTGACACCATTTTTACGCTCGAAAACCAGGGCATGGCAGGAATTTTCCTGACATATGGAGAGCCTAGGAATATGTCCTTGAACTGTAATAATGGCTCCTGTTGCCTAGTGTACAAAAAGCTACACCTGTTGCTCCAACTATTATTTTTTGCCTCCAGCACTATCATGCACTGCGATATGGAAGGAAATGAAGCTCTTCAGTGAAGAAGAGGAAGAAGAAGAAGAAGAAGAAGAAGAAGAAGAAGAAGAAGAAGAAGATTCTTTATCCCTCCTGTAATCCAATAGCAGCCGCAGTTTTCCATCCCAGGACTGGCCTAACTGGATGAATGATACTCAAGGTAGCATTGTATGTTCACATATGTGAGTTATATCAAGCTTGAAAGTGTTCTTTTCAGTTCTTAACAAAAACAAGGCCCGGCTCTGTCATTAGGTAGAGTGATACGATTCCTCAGGCAATATATGTTGAAGTGTTGTGGGAGTGGGCAGTAGCCTATTGCCATTCCTTCAAAGAAGTCTCTTAGCCATTCCTTTCCATTGAAGTATACAGAGTTGTGTGCATCACACTGTCTGTTCTGCACCCCCTGTGCTAGCTTGTGGTGTAGGGCTCCTTCTCCAGTATTTAAGAGCAAACTTCCAGTCTTGTCTGCTACTATGTGTGGAATGGAAGGAGACCGCCATCTTGTCCTCTGCCTGATGCAGCAAACTGACTTGGTTCAGCGCAACCCTGACAATTACTTCTGGTCAATGTCACTTCATTTGTGCCTCTCGTTCAGTATTCCCCATAACCTGGGACTTTCTAAATTTATCCTTTTCTGGAAGAGATGATTTCCCGGCAAGCCTGCCTTTCTCTCTGGCTTTAATGAGCAGTCTCTAACCTTCCTATGCTTACCAGCTGGATTCATTTTCTTTCAGCCCCTAGGTAAACTGAAATATGTCTCTGTGTTGCCCAGCCACACACAGCTGTTTCCAATTAAATGTTTAAAGCCACTCAGCCAATTAGGGGGAAAGAGGGCCTCTAAAGCAGATGCAGAAATATAGCATTTTATGGACCCATTCATCCTGATGAGTCCTATTACCCAGCCAAACCTATATTTTAATAACTATCATTACATTTCTACTCAAAAATGATGAAACCGAGGGGGGGAATGAATAATTTCTAAAAATTTAAATTATTTGGGCACTATCCAGCAAAAGTTAGGAACAGGGAAGTCCTACTGTTCTTAATGAGAGAAATTTGCACACATCCTTAACTTTCTGATTGACATCAATGGGACTTAAATTTGGTTGGATAGTGCCCGAAATGTTTTTAGTTTAAAGTAGGCCTTTGGGCATCCTGTTGCCACCAAATTTAATTATGGCTCTGTTTTCAGAAGACCTGCTTGGGTCATCGGTGGGGAAGACACAGGGTGGTATTCAACTACATTTTATGGCATTGCTATCACGTTTCATGGCAAGGGACACCTATCTGTCTGTCTATGATTCCTCTTTGTTTCTGAGTAGGGAAAGTGGGAGATAGATCTAAGCTAGTGGCAGCTGACTGCTGTTCCCTACTGTAGACTCCCTCTGTCAAAGCTGTTAATGGAGAATGACCAAAAAACAACCAAGTAGTCATAGTCTTGGAGATCCATGATTGTGGTCCTTTGGGTGGGTGGGTGTGTAGGCAGTTATTCGTGATCAGGGCAACATACAGGATTATATTAATATAAAACACAGCTTAGGGATTCCATGTGAAGATTGGAAAGTTGTGTTCTGGTTATTATTACTATTATTATTATTAATCGAATTTATATACCACCCTATACCCAGAGTTCTTTGGGTGGTTCACAGAGTAATTGATCATGGCTTCTGCACCTGCAATGTTCTAAAAATCCTGCAAACTGGGATTAACCATGTGGCTAACCTCAGTTTGGCGCTGTGCTTGGATTCATTCCCCCCTTGACAGAGCATTTTATTATGTAAGCCACTACTTGCAGACTGAAATGGTACAATCATCTCAGTGGTAACTGGTCTCGGCCAGTTTTGTTTTCTTGTTGTTAAAAAATCTTTTTCAGTCCAATCAAGTCACCTTGCTTCCCCAAATGATCCAAGTCCCCATGTCCTCTGGAACCGTTCATAAAAAGTAGGGATGGTGAGCTTTAGTCATCACTGGGAAGCCAGGGAGCTGTCCCCCTAACAGTGCTGAAAACCTAGAAATTAGTCAGTATATTATGTTTTAAGTCCTTGGCACCTCTGTTTTCCTGTTTTCCTATGCATTCTGGGTGGTTCTTGTTTCAAAAGAATAATCCAAATTATCCATACCAGTGCAAATCCACTGTTAATCTTCTATAGGAGTCAATGCTTGGAAGATCTCTGAAGAACTTGCACTACAAGAGTGAAGATAATAGATCTTCCAGTGGAAAATAAATCCCTCTGATTTAACCCTTGCCTCTTTTGTGCTTTCTCTAATCTACCCCCAATTTTCTATAAACCCTGCTATTAGATATAGGAGGGAAGATGCAGGATCTCCCCAACCCCCCACCCCAACTTCAGATCACTGCATGAGGCTGTGAATTAGTCAAACGCAAACAGCAGGAGATATTAGCTATGGATCTTCACCATTGCATCTACTTTGTTTTCAAACTGAAAAGCTTTAAAAAGGCAAGTCCATGCTGCTTTGGAGTATGTGCACTTTTAAAACGTAAAATGAATTTTAAAGTTATTTCTAATCTTTGGGAGTAACACTTGGGAAGTATCACTGTATGACCCAGAGAGTTAGAACTGTATGCTGTGTAGTCTCCAGCAGCCCCTGATATAACTGTGAGTTAATGTGACTTATTTTCCAGGATTTGTTGCAAGAACTACACAGTGGCGCTGGTAAAGCACTGTGTAAGTTAATGAAATCGCTTTCCCAGGAACAAAATAAACTTTAGGACCTGAAATCCTATCCCATGTTACTCATGTGTAAGTACTATTAAAGTAAATGGGACTAACTGATGTATAACGGATGGCAGGATTTCACCTTTTATCTACATTAAGGAGATACATTGTGTCTCTCTGTGTGTGTGTTAACAAGGGAGAATTGCAGTGTTGGAAAAAGGGGGCCATTTAGAGAGAAGCAATATTTTAGTCAGTCATGGCTGGTGCATGAAGATAGGTCAAAACTGATCTTAAGACCTTTGGCTTCTACAACTGTTATCAATCTTGGCAGCTAACAAAGTTATTTCTTTAAATGACTAAGTTTGTAATTCATAACATGTGCTTAAATGCTTGTTTGACTTCACAGCACAGGAGATAAACAGTTGTACATTTCATAGGCATCCCAAATCATTGTTGTTACGACAGCTATTAATGTAGTTTGTGTATTTGCAAATCCCATTTATTGCCAATCCCTCTGGGCTCTGGAATTGCCTTGTATTCCACTTCATTTTGCAACTCCCATCATCCTTCACCATTGGCCACACTGGTTGGGTCTGATGGGTGTTGGACTCCAGCAACATCTACCCACATTGCCTACTTTTGATCTAGTGAATTACCTCGAGAAAGATTTGCCAGCAGCTACCTGGACATGAATTCTGTAATCAGCCATCCCTTTGTACATCTGCCAAGGGGGTAATGCCTGATTTATAGACTGCATGAACAATTGAACTAGATGATCCAAAGCACTGATTATAGAATCTTACTATCAA